ACCATGGAGAAATGCTTGAACTAATAAATTCAATACGGTACGAGCCTTGAAATGCGAAATTCAATACAAAGTGTTCGATGCATGAAGGAATACATAATCCTTGCTTCAGGCACATACCAACAAAATAACAACAATGGTATCATACATCAGGGTTTGACCTTTTCCCAGATATTATGGTATGCCCAAGTTACATTTCTGTCAAGGTATGTTCATGCGCAACAGCTGGCGTGGTGATGATAGTAGGGTTGGATTACATCTCGCTGCTTATACAGACGTTTGCAGTTCATGAATCCAATGTTTGCTTGAGCGTAATCAGATACACGTGTAGGTATGTGTTATTTATACCGCTCTTAAAAGTTATATGTGGAGCTGCCTTCCTCGAAAACGACACGACCTAGATTTCGCATGTATGTTTGTTCTTATAGATAGCATTTCATTATTTTTAAATAGGGGGAAAGCATGTAATGCCACTACCGACAATTATTAAAGGGGAACTGGTTTATTTGAAACTGCAAGCTGCAAACGCAATGCGAGTAATCATGTCTGCACTTTCGATTAAAGCTGGATGGTCTAAAAACCAACAAGCCAATACCGGCAAGCATTACAACAACTGCCCCTTTCCATGTTGCTTGATCTTGACAGCTAAACGTCCCTTGTCATATTTCTTCTTAATGACTTAATATAATTTGAAACATTCGCTGTAGCAATGCATCATGATAAACTCATACATGCGAACAATGAACAACGCCCATTTGCAGGACATTTATTTAAACTCCCAATAATAAAAACTACATTGAGAATCCAGAAAAATAGCGATATAAACATCATTTATTTTTCTGTGCACGAATACACGTCCTGCTTGGTACGAACAGTAACTGGCCTGGTTTTATACTATTCAACTTTACAAGGATTTGAGTGGTGTTATTATTTGCGAATAGCCACACGATTACGTAACAGGACTTAACCTGTATACACACGCCCCTTGGAAAGTTGCCAAAATCCGCTCCAGCTTTTCAGTAATTTTCTGGAAAGGGTTTAGTGCCCATTCAGCATTTTGAAAAGGCGGTAAAAATCTACAATTATCCGTCCAAACAAATTGGAGTGTATATAAACGGAATTCCACTTCACTTGGCGTTATTCCAAGTGAAGGTAAACTGTTACTAGTGAACCCTGACATAAGTTGCTCGTGATGATCATCTTCAGATCATAAAGTGTTTCCATGTGCGGAAGTTTTTACGATCTTCAGTATAAGTTGTTTTTGTCAGCTTCCAAGTGAAGTACTGAATAATATATGTTGATGTTGGTCCAATACAAAATATCTATCTTGAAGTTAAAGAGTAACACTGAGGCTTGTTTTGGAGCAGTAAAAGTTTACTCCTTATATATAACATCAAAGATAGTGTTTGCAAAACATGACATTCAGATGGAAGTGAAAAGGGAATGGAACTGGATTTGAAATGAAGGGCCATGAGATGAATTTTTCTTACGAACACGTTTTGTGTAATTTTCTACTCCTCGTAAATGTATGGAAACTATTTGACCTCCCTTTTTGGTTAATTTTATTGGAAAGTGCACTTCTTTAAACATTTGTTCATAGAAAACATTTGTTGGAAATGTTTGCTCATTGGCTTACTGCCATGTACTGACACAACGTACCACCAAAGAAAAGAAAATTTACAACAGCAAAATACCCAAACTTCTGGCAACTTTTGGTGCTGAAATAGCTGTAACATTGAGGTTTCCGCCTAAAATGACATTTGCTCATGAATATGGAAATTCGCATTAGCATAAAAACCAAACAAAGGCACAAAAATACCCTTGAAAATGGCAAAACGAAAATTGAAAATAAGGTAAAATGGGACACAAAGGTGCATTTTCAAGGATTGCATTAAAAAAGTTACATTGCATGGACCCTTTAAACTATTATGTCATTTATTAGAGGGGCAACAGAATAGGCCCTTTAATATTCAACAGCCATCTTAAAGGTGTTTTTCGTTATTTTAATTGTGTAAAAATGAATGCGCAAGAGGCGTAATCATGCACATCGCTGTGAAAACAAAGCATGGACCTCCAAGATTAAAACTGCAATGCGAAAGGTCTCAAAAGGAAGAGGGAGAGCGAATGAATACAAAAATAACGTGTGGACATCGAGCACATGGCCCGAAACGAACACAGATAATGGTAATGCCTGCATTATGCTGTTCCAGCTTACATCTCTATAGAGTAGTAATAGAGATGTACGGAGTGAAATAATGTAGGTCAGGAAGGCCTACGTGATAAAATTGATTTTTGAAGTTGCACAACAGCCTAAATAGGAACAGATTTGCGTTGAATGTGGCCTAGCCTGGGGCTGTCGGTTCTCTACGGACATATGAAGAGGGAAAGATTCTTTGTAGAATTAAAGTGCGACCATCCCAAAGTTCCGCACGTAGGCCATATTAATTGCATCACGTAAAAACTGTTCTACTATACCATTATTTTTCTTTCCACATCCATGAGCTCACATTCTGCTCAATTCTCTTTCAAAAATCCCTATCGGGAATACAAAAAAAACCATCGATTGGGAAAAACCCACAACAAGCCCAGCTTTACAAACCCCTGTAAATTTTCTTCGAATGATGTACTTCATCCTTTCCTCCGTTGGGTCAAACAACGGGGGCAGCAACGAAGAAAGGGACCTGACGCCCACGTGAAGTAAAAAGTTTGGTAAACCCTCAAAACAAACTGCGTGAGAAAACACGTGCTACGGTGGGCACCGGCCGGGGTTTGCTTGTCAACAAACGTTTCCCCTCAAGGGGCTTTCTCGACCTGCATAAAACCGCGGGAACCTGGCAAGATTCGGCAAATTGACGTCACTAGTGTACCCTCAAGGTCGGCCGTGTTTAGGTTGGGATTCCGCTGGGGCTTATCGTGAGAAAGTCTCACTGCTTTTGTGGCCGTTTCTCGATCTCTTAAAAAGGAAATCGTACGATGAAAGACATACTTGTTGATTGACAGGGGGAAGTATAGAATGGGACAATAAGTTTTTTTGAACTGATTCCGAGATTTCTTGGGCTGGATTAGAGCAACTTGTTTTTTTTTAAGAGGGGTGTGAAAGGTTTGTTTCACTAAAACTCATCGGATAAGCCCATTCCGCGTCATGTACCAATCACTGTCACTTTTATACCCAGCACGATCGATATTGTGACATAGGGGTACCCCACCCCCACCCCATCTCCCTATACACACCCTAGACTATTGTTACTACACATCCCCGGCCCCCTAGATATCTCAAACGAATTTCTGAGCCTTCTTGTAACACAATGACCAACACAAAAGAGGGGGTGGGGGTTCCCTCTGTCGCATATCGTGCTACATTAATTATTATGTATAGTTTTGTCAGTCATTGGCACAAGAATCAGTAACGAAACAAAATAATTAGGTGCAGAAAAACTTATTATTGGTGTGGTTATTGGTGCTTGATAGTTGGGAGTGATTCGCCTTTCAGAGCTTGCACGTACAGAGCGCTCGAAGTGTTAGACATGTTTTTATGTTTAACTTCAGTGACAATGAAGGAAATCAAAGTGTCTGCCCAAATGCATATAGGCCTAAACGGAACACTTCAAACAGAGCTGGGTCATGGAGATGATGACATAAATTCCGCAAAAGACAAATATTGACAGGTCTTATACATCAAAACAGATGTGCATGGATTTCCACTTTTCACTCTGCAGCTGCGAGCGATTTGTCAGAACTTTCGCAAGCGTTAAAAGTGTACACTAACCATTTCCACATCAAAATCGCTATTCCCGCTGCCTAGCCCTTGACTTCTAAACGATCGTCGAAGGTTATTTTGCGGTTGAGGGCACGTGCCTTAATTTGAAAGGGACAAGGTAACGGCATTTTTTTTTCACCGGGTACAATATCGGACTATCATTCCCATTTAACGCGGTTGGCACGCTTGCGGTTTTCAGCCGATGAATATAGCGGTTAACAGAGGTTGCTAGACTTGACCTAGTATCCCGTTAGATCAACAACAGGTGCATGCAGCAAATCCCTTCATCCAATTAACAGTGGTTCAGAGTTGGTAATCCCAATTAAGTGGTCGTTTGTCAAGTGTTAATTGTCATTTATCATTCACCAGAGGAAATGACCCAATAGCTTAAGGTCAACCTACACACTTTACCAACAAACAACATGCACTTGTTGAGAAGTTCAAGTGGTGTTCAATTGGCAAAAACAAAATTAATGAACAGATTAGTGTAGTTGAAATAAAACAATGAAATAAAATATAAGAGGAGACGAACATCTTGTTTGAAAAAGGGGGGCTTGGATTTTTTCAGCTAAAAAAATATGAAAATGCAAATTAATTCTAATATGATATCTTCCTTTTTTGGCCATGTAGTTCAAAAATGGACTGTTCTGGGTTTGGCCATAAGCCCCGCCCACCTTTGCTTTGTGTACATTTTCTCACAAAACTTGTGACTGATTTTGGCCAAGCGACCGCCACCTGACCAATATTCGCCAATCTTATTGGTCAATGAGCAATGTTTGACAGACATGAAATAGTGTTTCAGTTGAATTTGCAAAGTTTCCTTTCAAGTTTGAAGTTTGACTACTCGTTCTTATCGGCCTTATGCACGAGTCGGCCATATTGAATTAAAAGTGAGGTAAAATCTTAATTATTGGAACTTGCGATGAGAAATGAAAGCAAGTTAATTACTAATTAATTCCAGTCTGCTTCAATAAATAATTAAAAAATTTAAACTAAACATTCCCTAATGTTTAAAGCCAGATTTAACCAAAAAAGACAGTAAAATAAGGCTGCATTATGCCTACATAAATCCCATTCAACAGTTAATTAATGAAATACATTCGGGGAACTCGACAAAAATGCCCAATAAGATGGAATTTTGCGTTGGGGTGATGTAACACTAAGACGTCTGCATGTTAGACTTGACATTAAGATGTCTGTGTGGACAAGACATCTGCACTAGAAAGCTGGAGGTTGTGGGTTCGAGTCCCACCCCAGTGATTTTGTTACAACTTTCACTTGAGAGGTCACACCGAGTATACAGTGTTTATACGTCGGTGAAGGGCAAAACCTTATTTGAAAAATGGCAAACTTGTGCATAAGGCCCATAGTAATTTTAATCTACAATCAGCAAAGACAGGCCAGAATACATCTCCAGCACTGGCACCTTAGTGTCCAGCGGTTGTGAATCTGGAATTACTTTAATCTTCCAGCGATTTCTTTCCTCTGTCGAATCTTTTATTCCAGGATTTTATGCTTGATAAACCATGAGGAATGTACATTCAAGACAGGAATTGATGACGCATCACCAGTTGTTAGTTTTCCTCCTTGAAAACCACTAATAGTAGTAGTAGTACTATAAATTGGGGGCTGGACTTTAAGTACATCTTTTCAAAGAGATACTGGCAAGCACCTCTGTTTGGGTTTTTCCTTTCAAGGACGTTGAGAAAGAATATGGTTTAAATTACTTTTTACCAGGATCTTCAATCTATTTCCGAAAACCATTAACTTTCTATATATGTGAACTGGCCCATTCTGAAGTCGCTATTTTGAGCCAATAATGAGATCTTGCATAACGGAAATCTATGGGAAATGACAATGTTTCCAGTTGCCCGCGTGATGCACCATTCATCAGATGACAAACTCGTTTTGTACACATCTTCGAGATTTGAGCATGCTACTTTAAAATGCAAAGTTTAAAGAGCAGAGATGTTTGCCTACCTTTTTCCAGGTTTAAAAGTTGTTGACGTCGTCAGGAAATGTTACAACTGTTCACAGAGGGAGTGTACATCTGTGTAAAAAAAAAGTGACCAGAAATTAGTTACATGTAAGCATTGGCCTCAACAAAACATAAAATGTATTGTGAAGTTTGTGAAGTTTTGGATACTTGAGAAGTATTATTCACTTACAGTCAACTAAGGTATTTCATAATAATTTGGTAGTTTTTCTTTTTGATGTTCGCAAACGTTGCATATTACACAGACTTAATCCTTTCCATGCCATCTAATTCTAACTACATCTGCGATCAAAGTATTCTGTGAGATGAAAATTTCAACGAACCCTCAGATCCTGGTCGCAGATTAGTTTTATATGACAGGACTTGGGCATTTATGTCAGAGTAGCAAACAATTTCCACCAACCACAGACTGGTGTCAAGTCTAAGTTAAACAAACCCTTTGGGATGTTAGGCCAAAAAAAAAAAGTCTCCGGTTTCTGGTATGCGCGCGCGTCGCTGTAGCCATGCGCGTCGGCAAAATGAAACAGTTTTTTTTTTCAATGAAAGATGATGTCTCAAAACCGCCAAACTCACTGGTTTGACTGGAATCCTGCTGCTGCACAATTTTAACGTGTTTTTAGATGGGGTTATGATCGAGAATAAGCTTTATGTGGCCTCTCTGGACTCCCATATATTTGCACTAAGTTTAGTCGGGCACCATTTGCAGTCATCAGCCGACATTTGAAGCAAAAAAGTCAGGTAAAAAAAAAAAAAAAGCCGCGTCGCCGCAGCACTTTTTGGGCAAGCTCCATACCAGAAACCGGAGACTTTAATTTTTTGGCCTTATCACACTAGAGATGAGTGAAAGGTAGTGGGGTCCTATTATGATCAGATAACAGGACCCTGGGCACAATATTGGCAAGTTGCCAGACAGGTGAGAAAAAAAAACAGGGAAAGACCACTCAATGTAACCCTGCACAATTGGCATAGCAAAAGTGCTTGTTTTGTTAGCCCCTACAAGTTTGAAGAAGACCAGAACACAATTGAGGGTGAAAGGGGAAAATCTCTTTCAAGTAGGGGTTGAGTACACCTCTGATGAATGGCACTACAAAAATCAGGGAGGGGGCCGTGTGGGGTATAATAACAAGGTCATTTAATGGGAGGAGCCTGTGGAAAATGGATTTTCTTTTTATTTCCTGATGTAATGGAGTCGAAGAAGCTATGACTGCAGTGCAAGACAACAAGGGGCTTGTGTGACTTTTTGGTTCATTTTGCACGAACAAGTGAACTATGGTATAAGCTTGACATGCCAACTTTTTTTTGGGGGGGGGGGGTATGGGGGGGGGGGGTTGGAGGGGTAGGAGGTTGGAGGGGGCATTTGGTTCCAATCCATCCAGGACTGACCAGGAGTCAAATTTTCTTTTTAGGGCATAAACAAATTGAAAACCTTACGTAAGGTTTTTCTGTGTTGACGCACCAATGTGGAAGTATTATTGTGATTCCTGCTGACCTTTATAAACAATCTGTACAGCAACTTCCGAGATTTGAATTTTGGGGTTGGGTTTCTTTAACAGGTACCCAGGTACCGTGGGTTGTTTTTCAGTCGGGTACCCGATTCCCGTACTACCCGTAAATGCACACTGCAGGTATTTGCTTTTAGTTGCCACTGCCGACTCAGGACCAACTAAGGACCAACTCAGCTGAAGATGGCAGTAATTCCTTTCATAAAACTGTGAAAAAAAAGCCTCCAGGTTCTAGAACTATAGAACCTTGGTTCTATGCAGGATCCAAGGCAGATGTTGGTTTTGAGTTGCCATTGCCAACCCCGGACCAACTAAGAACCAACTCAGCTGAAGATAGCAGTAATCCAACAAACAAAACTCAGTGAAAAAAAATCATCCAGGTACTAGAGCTAGAACCTTAGTTCTATGCAGGATCTAAGGCAGACGTTGGCTTTGAGTTGCCACTGACAACCCCAGACTGACAAAGAACCAACTCAGCTGAAGATACATGTTTGTAGCAGTAATCCCACTGACAAAATTGTGGGGAAAAAATCATCCAGGTTCTAGAACTGGAACCTTGGTTTTACGCAGGATCCAAAACAGATGAACCACGATGAATTTACAAACAAACGCCGTAGAAGACATTATAGAACCCCAGAGAACTTATGAATATGATTCTGTTGATATCTGAGTGTAAAAAAATACACTAACATGTATTGGTTGACTGCTTCAGTTTAATACAGGAAAGTGAAATGAAAAATCAGGGCCTAACTCCGTGTTTCATAAAGTGACCAGCGTTCCATTGCAATGAGTCTGCAGATTCTGTTGTCAAATCCAAATGGTTTTGTAAACACCTTACCGGTACCAATACCCCCTGTAGTTTCAAGATTAAGTGAAAAGGTGTTGGTGCAGAACAGGTCTGTTTGGCTGTTTCCTATTGAGGGAAAAATGGATTATTTGCCCCCAAAAATGGATTATTGTATAAATCTCTTTTCAACCAATGGACCATTTTCAACTCAGTAAACAGGCCACTCTGTTGTATGATCGTGTATTATCTATCATCCAGGATACAGAATATCTATTTGAAGGATTGTTGTATACATGTCCTATGCAGAGTGACTGTGTACTTTTTTTTTAAATTATAATGTCCTAATCATACTTAAGCAATTTCTCTAAGACACTAGATGTAATTTATTGATTAACAATCCAATTCATGCTTACTGTTTTCTGTCAAAATTTGGCCTAAATCCCTAGGAATTTTTGGCAAGGAACCTCTCTCAGAATCGTTTTGTATTAAAGGCTACAAATGGCGAAGCCGCCATGGCTCGCTGCTAAAGGCCAAGAAGGGAGGAGGAACGTAGGGTTGGAGGTGGGCATGATGGAAGGGGATCAGGATTCAGGATCGTGTGCCAAAGTGAAGGGGTCACTGTTTTAAAGGCCAACATAAAAGTCAACTTATTATATAGTTAAGTATCCTTGATCCTCCTAAATTTGAGCAGATAACGCTTTGCAACGCGCGCATTGTCAAATGCAAATTAAAGGCAAGTGCATAGAAATAGGATCCCGTACATTTAAAGGGTCTGACAATACATGTACCACGTCACCACCATCACTACACTTCCTCCACCTGCCAACCCTAACCCCACCCCCACCGTCCCCCATACATGCCCCCCACCACCCTCCCCAAACTCCACCCCCACCCCCGCCCTCCTTCTTTTTTTAAACTAAATTTAAGCTAGAAGATAAAACTTTAATCTGAATGCGGACAGCTGGACGCCCAACTGTATGTCCGGACAGACGGATGGAAATCGGTATCACATCTGCTTCGCAGCTCGCCAAAAATGTGGAGAAATAAAAAAATTTCCTTCCATAATACGAATGTACGTAAACATTTGGGCCTTTTGTAGTTACTATCCCCTCCCCCATACCATGAAAAAATGCCAGGTATTTTTGATGTTTCTTTCATGATACAACTCCTAATATGGACCCCAAAAAAATCACCGACGTAAATTTCCAGGGCAGTCAGATTTCCCAGGGCCACAAAGTGCAAACAATTGTGTAATACTCTAATTTCTCCCATACATGTATTAACACTATTTCTCATTGTTATGGACAACAGACCATCACTCCAATAAAAAAAATCAGGACCACCTAGTGCCATTTCCAGGGCTCTGCTAACTTGCAAAAACCCATTCAGCAAGATATCAATGTAAATTCCTTTCAAATGAGGAAGTCTCTCCAAAAATTGTAAAGATTATCTGCCCAGGTTTGAAGTAAACAACAGTTTCTTTTGTGGAAAAGTAACAATAGTAAGAATTTCTGTGCCCATGTGCAAAATGGAATTTGCATATAACAATAGTAGCGACTGTGGTGAATTGTAGTTTACGCCCATTTTAACTTTTGGAAAGAACTGGCACAGGATACAGGTTTGTGAATAGAGTCATGTCAAAAAGCGGTTTAATTTTCTGAGCAATTTCAAGAATTTGAAGGGTTTTTTTTCCAAATGTTTTCAAGGAATGGACACAATCAAATTCCAAGTAATTCTTAAGTTATAATTAATGTGACGTCTCATGCAAACCAAGCACTTCTTGGCTGAAAAAATTTGATAAAATCATTATACATACTATGTACACTCTGAAAACACTGATCTTCAATTTTACTCGAAAACAGTTAAACCTGCACCCAGCTGACCCTAATGGTAGTCAGCTGGGCCTGGGTGCAAGTTTGCTGTTTTCTGGTTAAATCTAACTAGGTGTGTAAACAGTATAAAGCAGGATAAAGGGGCAAAATGGTACAAAGATTTGACACTGTACCAGCTGAGCTCTTAAAAAGTTGCGTCAGGTGAATGCCATTTTCTGTTCTGGAATCAGCCCAGTTTTGCCAAATGGAGCATCACAAATTGTAATTCAGAGGATGGCGTCAGGGATTCTGCTAAGAAAAGCCTGGCCACAAAGCATCCTATAAATAGCCAGGTTGAATAAATACATACAGGCAGGCATAGTATCCTGTTAAGACCTGCCAACTCTTATCTTGTCAGTGAGGCTATGACATCTTACATGGAAATTCAAGGCCCAAAAGTACATAGTTTCTAAATTTAAAGGTAGAGTAGGGCATTTGCAGCTATCCAAAATTAACAGACAAAATTATAGTTCAAAAGCTAACTTGGTTTTAAGATAGAAATGGCAGTAAACTCCCTGTGAAATGATTCTTTCTGGCATGCTCTCTTTTTGAAGAAAACAGTAAAAGAAGGCCATTTCCAAAGATGTGTCAGGTGATGCATCTTTGGAAATTTCCATTAGTAGTTGGTTTGTAATTCGGCGAATCCGTGAATGGGTGCGTGCAAGCGTTGACACGATGCACACACACACGTGCACAGTTGCTATCATTATTTGTCCGTTCAGTGCGTGACATCGCGTAGCTGCAATCGGCTGATTGAGAACTGTGATTTCGGGCCCAATTCAAAACATGACTCGGCAACTTTTGAATTGAAATTGAGATCTTAGAGTTTTGTTTATTCAGAATACACAACATTCACCGAGCAACAACTTCACTAGGTGGTTAGTTGTTAAACAC